TTAAGATAACTGGCTGGTTTGGATACACACGTGAGTAATACGATACATGATAAGCAAAATATTAATTTTATAATTTTATAACCCTAAAAAAAACTATAATAATTATATATATCGTAAATTAAATTTAAAAAATTGGTGACCATTGGATTGGTTAAGATTTAATCTCAACCATCCATTGTAAATTAGATATATAAAAATGTCCATTTGCACCGAAGCTTGTATATGTGAATTTGTGGATATGTGAATTGGATTGTGATTTGTGGATATTAAAATTGGATTTTGAAATTGAATTGGATATGTGAATTTGAAATGGATATAGATAGCTGAAATTGAATTGGATTGTGATTTGTGGATATATAAAAGTAAATTTGAATTGGATTGTGATTTGTGGATTTGTGTTTAAGCAATAAGGGAATCCAAGGAATGTATTTAATCTAAGAGAGAAGTGATCTAAGTAAGTTAGATTAACGAGACCTTTCTCTTATGTTCATTTCTAAAACGTTCCTAGTTATAGGATTGCCAATTGGGCATTGACAATCCGCTAAGGTTAGTATGTGTTATGTTAACTCAAGCATGAGTATGACTAGTCTCAAGATAAGACAAACACGGATTCATTTTCGCTTACAAGCGCACTCTTATATTTAGGCATTTTTAGGTTTAAATTTATTCACATTTTCTACATCACTACATTTTATGGCTCTGTTACCCTCTAGGTGTCGGCCAGCACACCTCGACTCGGAGTCCAGGTGGACATTCTGGATCAGGGTGTGTCATTTGCTATACAAAGGACAGTACGATCTTGTCTTTGGCTTTGTAAATATCATCAACGTGTACAAAACTTAAAAAAAAGACACATTGAAAATGTTAATCTACAGCACGAAAAGTACATATAGTGCTTTATGTAAGTATTTCCACGTAAAGTTTAAATATTTAAAACTAATTGAAACTTTATTTTGGCGATGAGTTCCACAAATAATAATACCATCTTGCAATCTCCTTATAAAAATGCATCAAAATTACAAATGAAGTCCATAGAAGAAGTTAAAATTCCTAAAAAATTTATATGGAATTTGTAGTAGTTTTGAAGTCCTATCGAATCTTTTAGTTTTAAAATTCTAAAACTTTATCACTATGTTCTATCATCATATCAGTGAATTTTATAAGATTTTTCATGTTAAGAACATGTTGACAACTGAATTTATGTAAGGGCTTAAGATTCTACAAATTTAAAAACAATATTAAAGTGAGAAAGAATCAAATCCAAAAATGAAGAAAAAATGGAAACAGCAAACTATAAGTTGACAAAAACAAACCAGTGGTGAAAAGTTTTGATCTGCATGCTGTCTTAACATTATAAATCCACCATGGGCGCTTGTATGAAAAGCAGTTAAGGTCTTGAAAAATGAATGTAGTTGAAACCGTAATGGCATATGAGAGAGAGAGAGAGAGAGAGAGAGAGAGAGAGAGAGGGGGGGGTCTATTCTACTGTGTTGTCATCTTGCTAAAATTTATAAAAACATCATACCATCAGAATCTCAACAGATAATCATTTTTACCCATCCACAATAAATTAGAACCTTCAAGCCAAGAACTTACATTTCATTGAGGAAGTAAAGTGACTTGTGCAAATACTTTATTAGTGTCTGGTTTAGTCTATAATTCAATAGAAAGAAACATATTATTGACTCACAAAATGAAATAATTTGAATGTAAAAGATACAGCTAAACAATTAAATGCAGAATTGACAAAAGAAGCTAGTACAATTTGAAAATTAAAACTTGAAGACTATATTGTTTGGTAATTTTGAATAATTCATGTGTGCAATTTTTCAAGCTAAACTCCTTTTTTGTCATACATTTGATAAACTTGTAAGATAATTAGTCTAATCACCTAGTCTTTTTTAAGATGCTGCACAGTTCGAGTAAAATGTTAAAAACCACGAACATGTAAAATTAAAATCAAATCTGTAAGTTGTTTAACATTTTATCAATAACTGACAACATAATATAGACAAAAAAGTAAATTACTTGAAATTGCAACTGTGCTGGTAGCAAATTAAAACTGAACATGGTGTTCTTTTGTTTCTGGTATACTTTTATGAGATGTAAATAAGACTGAAGTAGTTGAAACAAACCTACATAGGAAAATAGAAAAGAGTTAAGAGTTTATAAAACCAGAATACAAATAGAAACACATTTGTTAGCTTCTTTAAACTTGATTTTAAGAGCCATGTGAAACAATTTTGTTTTTGCTTGATAAATATAGGATTTCATTTATTTTTAATAAATGAATAAATGTGTAAGCATGATTTAATAAAATTAAGAACTTTCTTGCATATTTTGTTAAGACATCTTTAAGCCCAATATTTACAGTATAGTTCTTAGCATTGTTTCTCCATTTTCTATCAAAAAATTTAAACCCTCTCTTTATGTCAATCTAGACAATGCAACATACAACTGACCATGTGTAAAAACAGGTCCTGGAAGATATAAACCAACTTGTTTCAGAGATTGACCTTGGGATTTATTAATTGTCATAGCATAACCTAGTCTAACTAGAAATTGGCGTTTAAAATGAAAGGTTACTTGCTCTTTGTTGCTATAAGAGTGATTCTTGGTATGAAAACTTTGTGACCAATATTGCTTCCAACGAGAAATTTAGCATCAATAATTCTATTAAATAATTGAGTAACAACTAATTTAGTTCCATTACATAAACTTAAAGATTGATTTAAATTTCATAGTAGCATAATGGCCATTCCTATTTTTAAAACCAAATTATGTGCAGGTAAACCATTGAAGTCAAGCTTGTTTAAAAATTCAGTATGACACATTATTTCAAGGTTTTCAATATTTGCATTTGAAGAGCATAAAGAATCATAACTTAAAAACAGCTAATGCTCTCCAGGTGATAAATTAATTATATAATTATTCACATCTGAAACAGTTGTATTTCGAGGTGTTATAATAGCTTGTTTTCTTAATTACACAAAATTGTCAAAAAAAGTTCAACATTGGAGTAAGTTGCAAAAAAGATTGAATGTATAGGATTTGTAGAAGAATTGATTATTAAATATTGAGGTATTTCAATCAAAGATGTATCTCTATCATTTGAAATATCCATATTGTTTTTGTTATTCATTTGTCCATCACCTACCAATAAGCAAAGGAACTTATTTTTATTTTTATTTTTCAACGCTCAATCCCTTTTTTGACAATCTCACATTTCCTTTCAAATGAAATTTTTTGAAATGCGACCACAAATAAAAGCTATTCAACAAAGCATTTATTATATCTTCTTTACTTCCTCCAGGAATAACATGTAATATTTGTCGAAAATCTCCACCTAATAAAAGAGTTTTACCACCAAATTGAGCATTGTTATCTAAAGTATTTGATAAAATGTCTAAAAGTGATTTATCCAATACTTCAAAACAATATTTATGAGTATTGGTATCTCATCCTGTCACATCCCGGCCCAGGCCCCAACCACATCCCAGGCTCGACTTCACCGTAGCACGATATTGTCCGCTTTAGGCCCCAACCACGCCCTCATGGTTTTGTTTCTGGGAACTCACATGAGAACTTCCCAATGGGTCACCCATCATGGAATAGCTCTCGTGCGAACTCGCTTAACTTCGAAGTTCTGTTGGAACTCGAAGCCAGTGAGCTCCCAAAAGACCTCGTGCTAATTGGAGATGGGAATATACATACAAGGCTTACGAGATCCACTTCTTTGGGAGATGTGGGATGTAACAATCCACCGCCCTTAGGGTCCGAAGTCCTCGTCGGCACACCTCCTGCTTCCAATGAGTTTCCTAGTTTTCTTGCGTACCAGTCACCTTTCAGGCTATTTTTCGGCCATTTCTGGCAACCATTGGGCTTTCAAAAAGGTATAATCTTGTTCTACACTTTCTTATCTTTAATTTGATATATTATGGGTCGAATTTGGTTAAGAAATGATTGAGTTACGAAGTTTTGAAAACTGCCCAAACTTCCGGTATAAGCTCCGGGACCACTTAACGGAGTTATTTAACGGAAGAACCAAAATAATGGATGGTAGACAATCTCATAGACCATTTATATTGATTTTCAATCTCAGGAACTAAAGTTATATATTATGCAAATCTCAGAGGCCATTTTGACTAAAAAGCCTTTACACAATTCACGTTTCCAACAGCATATTGCTCAGCAGAAGACATGTTGTTGCTACATTGGTGTCCAATCTGTGAATTTTGATCAACAAATGCCACACTTCGAGACAGAACAATGTTTGCACAATTTTCCATATAATTATTCTGGACACTCTTTTGGACTGATGGTCATATTCACACGGAACATCATATTTGTTGTGAACAAAGTCTTTTTCTTGTTGTATAGAATCATTTGTTATGACATTTATACGTCTTTTTGGCATGATGAAAAACAAATTGTTATAGCAACTTAAAAACAAACAGCTACAAACCAGATTGCCTTAAAAAAAAGGGTATTAACAAAAATATAACAGACGTTGTTCTAAAAAGCGCTAGGCGGCTATCCACTGCTCCGATTAGTCCTTAAGTATTTGAAAATTAAGAAAGTGCGCTTACACCCTCTTAGGCGTCTGCCTAGCCCATTTAGACACCCGTCTAGTCCGACTAAACCCACCCAGGCACCCGCCTAGGTCATCACTCTTATTTAGACATAAAACCGATAACTTTCAATTTGCATTTTATTTTGTCAATAAAATGTAACAGACTTTTTAAATACTTAGATGACACTCATTATATGCTTGTTTGATCCCCATGTTTTCAATACGTTCTAATACTTTATAGTTTATATGTCATTTTAGTTTACAATTGATGTATCACAATGCAATTATGTGTTTTTTAAGTATAAATAGGCACTTATTTACACAATATATAATACTAAATTAACTAAATTTGTCTAGTCCGTCTAGGCGCTAGGCTCCAACCCATCGCCCGACTAGTGGATAACGTCTTTTAAAACCTTAATAGATATTTGAAAAGAAAGTGTACATCAAGCATATAATAATGATTAAAAACAATATTTTACATGTATTAAAAAAGATTAGCCTAAACATCAAACCATTAGTTAATAAACACGTTTTCTTCCTAAACTCATAAAACACATATTAAAAAATTTAAAATAGGTCTAAGCTTTTGTCTTCTTTCCTAAATATAATCATGCGTTTCCCAAATCTAAATTCAGTTTATAAATTTTCACACTAAGCTTCAAAAGTGTACTTTTTTTAACATACTCATTCAACACGCAGAGGATAGAACACATGCATCCCTACCAGTAAAGAAAATTTATAACGAAAGATAAACTAAACTTGATGCTTAAAACAAGTCTTCTTGCCGAGTCAGTAAAGCCAAATTGATACAAAAGGCAACCAACACTGCACTGTGGCAATACACTGCCAGCAACGGTTGTTTAAATTAAATTGTCCTGATCCAAACAGAAACACGAATCAGCTGAAACCGTTAAAAATACAAAATAACACTTGAATCAAATGTATAGACAAAAGCAAATGTTCAAAACAGGAAAAATTATATTAAAAATGAAAATTACGTTAAATAAGATTTCTACAATGAAATAAACACAACTGCTCTAGCAAACAACTTTATCAAGAATTTAAAAATAGAAAAGATGTTATTCATATCCATTTCACCACGTTCCTGTTACGACCGCGAAAAAAATAAAATTAATAAAATAAGAACTCAAACTATAACATAATAGACAAGTTCTATTTATAGTATTGATAAAATTTAGCATACCTAACACATGAAACCTGAAAACATCTCCTCTCGTAAATACTATATACAAAGCATTAAAATGAGCCCCTTTTTTTTTTTACTTACACGATTTGAAGATTTGTTAAGCTGCTGATGCTTGATAATTTGAAAATCTATTCTTGCCCCGTAATATGTAAACATTAAGAAAAAAACCCAAAAAATAAAAATTCAGTCTACATAAATACATATTTCAATTCCCCAACGACAAACAAAGTAGAATACAAAACTCAAAACTTAGAAGCCAAAATTGAACAAAAAATTTATACAAAAACAATTAGAAAAATTAAATCCTCAAACATTTCAAATTTGCGAACTACAGTACACGTCTAAAGATAAATAGATATACTTCTTTTTCAATAGCACAGAAATATGAAATAGGCACATTCTTGCATAAGTTGCTATGCCACAACAACATAAAAGTCATTTAAACCACATTTTAACAGATGCAATAAAACCAAACAATCCAGACCAAGAACAATACAGAATTTATAGGTTCACTACAACAATATATAAAACATATCTTTTTATGTAAATAAATTGGTGAGTTAAAAAAATTCAAAGGGTATGTTGATTCTCAATTACTTACATTACTGTGCTAAGTATAATATAATGGATAATAAGTTATTGACATTGCTCCTCTTCTATTTTCTTAATAAATGATAAAACCTTCTATTTTCCACCTCCCTTTCATCAAAAAAGGTCGTACCCAGTGCACAAGGCTCCCGCTTTACGCAGGGTCTGGGAGAGGTGAATGTCGGCTAGCCTTACCCCCATTAAGAAAAAGAAAACATTAGATAACCATATAAGAAACAATTTACTCAAGAACCAAGAAAAAACAGTTCCTAATATCTACACATGGGCAGCTGTATTATGTTGCGCCAGAAGAAAAACTTTACCAAAAGAATTAAATCACTTAGCGAGTTTTCAACCCAAAACAAAAACATACCCAACACACATATCCTCGGTTTACAATCCCTTCTACTTTGCTTCCTGCTATCACTTGGTTCTCACCCTCCATATTCATTCCTCCATTTCCAAACACCTGTTAAATTATCCACATTTCCTCTAAAACCTGTAAACCTTTTTCCCACTCTTCAAAATCCAAACCACTTAAAATATACAAAATCAAAATTAAATAAAGATCACAATGCATTATATCACATTCACAACCACAATGTACTTAAACTAAAGATGAACTCAAAACCCTAAATAAATGTAAGTGTTTGTATTTAATTTTATTTCTAGGCTAATTTTCTTGCAGCAAAAAAAAAAAAAAACCAAACCAAACCAAAAAAATTTAACAAAACAAATGCAATATAGATACAGATCTATTAAACTAAGCTTGATTTACATTATACAAAGTCCATTCAAACAACTAAAATGGTATAAATGAAAATATTGAAAAACCAACCTCTTTCAAACACCACTGGTTCCACTCTTCTAACGTTTGATTAGTTTAACAGGAACCGAATTAATTTAAAACAAAAATAAACCTCATTAATTAAATCAACCCAGAGAAAGCCAAATTCACACTCACACATGTATAACGCAATATACACATGTACAATAAATAATTAAATAAGATACTTTGATGGCCTGTGGATTTGCAACCGTGCTTGGATTAGCATAGCACGCATAAAGGATTTTTAATGATGAGGGAGTGTTAGGATCCCAATGAGAGATGAAATCAGAATAACTAAATTTCAATTCATCTATAAATCTCAAATGACAAAAGCCACAAATTTGAAATAAAAAAAAACCACCCACATATACAACCCCAAAAAACTAACCAGAGAACCTTAACCTTGTGAATTTCGGTTTTACCCGAACCGACCTGACATTCTACAAAGACTCGATCCCATGATCTCCCTTGGAGAATCAAGGACCTTCACCAATGAGCCAAATCTCAAATTTTGATATCACAACATAGAAATGCATTTATATTCTTACTAATTATTAGTTACTCATACAAACATTTTTATTTAACCCTAGCCGCCAACCATATTTCCATTTATGCTCCTTTCACTCACCTCTCTCTCGACTCTCCTTTCACTCACCTCTCTCTCGACTCTCCTTTCAGCCATATGGTAATGCTCTGTGCAGGTTCTGTCATGCCTTCCATATTATTCTACTAATTTAAAGAGTTGGAATTTTTGGTGCAACTACTGCAGACTGGGCATTTGGAGGAAGTTTAAGGACTAAGGGTATCTTGTTTTTGAATTAGGACTCGAATTAGGGATTAACTAACTTTAGAAGAGCCTAACTTTTCTGTGTAAGAAACACCCAGATGTACAACCCAAAACACTAATCAGAAAACCCTAATTTTTCTGTGTAAGAAATTTCTTTAAATCAAACCAAAAAACTGAACATCATCATCTGAATTAAAAAAAAAAAAAAAAATCAAAACACAATCATACTATTATATATGGTTTTTGCAGGAATTAGAAGAAATTTAAAATATCTCAAACTTTCGAATTGCTTTAAACCAACTTACCTTCAATAATCTTCTACAAATCGAAACGGAATAGACAGCACACGGCGCTTTCGTGAAAACAACCAAAAAAATATGCAATGGAGGCAGACTAGTAGAAGCAAACAGAGAAAGAAAAGATCTGGAATGGGCAATGAAACAAACAGAGAAAATAGAGGCTGAGAAATGAAAGCAAACATAAGGGTTGAGAAAAGTAAAGCAAATGGAAACCAAAGGAAATTTGGAGAACTCGTGGGAACGCTGTGCAAAAGAAGAAAAACAACGGGTAGCTTGGGCATCAGAAATAGAATAGGGGCATACACGTAATTTCACTGTGCAACAAAGAAAGGAACCTGAAAGCTGAGGAGCAAATGAGGGGTACATCCGCCATTTCACTGTTGATGACCAATGCTCTCTTTCACGCACTGATCGTTCTTTTCTGTTGGCTTTTAGTACATGGCAATTACTCAAATATACTCAAATATACAACACTTGTGATCTGGATTTTAATTCAACACTATTCACATAAATAAGTTAGTAATAATATGAAGAGGGTTATGAATATACACCTTTGAAATATTTACTAGATATAGTCACTATTAGTTTGTACTCAAGTGAGGCGTATTCATACTCAAATGACGCCATTGTTGTGAGTTATATATTAGTTAAAGTGTAAATAGTAGTTCATTGTCCTACATTGGTAAAGTACATATGTAATACCAATTGTAACTCCTATATATACTCCACTTTAGAGATTAATGAACATATAAGAAATTTCCATATAGTATCATATATATTTTTGGTATTTACAATGTTTAATTTAATATGGCATCAGACCAGTTCGCTCTTGGTGTCCTATGTGCTTTAATTTTGTGCCCACATTTTTCGTGATTTCCTTCGTTGAAAAAAAAAAAACAAAAAGTGAATAGTGTCGTGCTACAGTACATCGTTTGCTACAATGCATGAACAGTGATCCTCTATAGTATCATAAATAGTGCTCTGCTACAGTCCCATGAACAATGATTGTTACAGTCTGGTAAATTGTTTTCATTCCGTTGTGTATCTTTTGTGCATTTATTGTTCGTGATTTTATTCAATTGCTCAATATAATCATAGTGTTGTTATGCATCTTGGTGGAACAAATAAATGGATAATTGATACTGGGGCCATTGATCATGTGACTAGTGACCTTAGAGTGTTTGATGAGTTATGTGATTATATTCGTGATCCGTATATTACTAGTGCAAATGGAGCACCTTCCCCTGTGAAGGGTGAATGTATTATCTCTCTGACTCCAACCTTATCACTGGTCCGTGCTTTACTTGTTCCTAATGTTAAGTGCAATTTTTTGTCAGTAGGAAAACTTCTTGATACTTTATATTGTTCTGCTCACTTCTACCCTACGTATCGTTATTTTCAAGATATTCAAACTCAGAAGATAATTGGTCGTGGTAAAAGAATATGGGGTTTGTATATCTTGACTATAGAGGATACTGTTGTTTCTAGTTCAAATAATCATCAAGTTTTAAGTGCTAAAGTGGATGACAGACATCAAATTTGGTTGTGGCATCGACGATTGGGACATCCATCATTCAGTTATATGAAACATCTATTTCCTTCTTTGTTTCGCACTTGTAGTGATTCAGAGTTCAAGTGTGAAACATGTGTCATGGCTAAGAGTCATTGTGCTTCCTTTCCCGTAAGTGATTCTAAAGCTACTTTGCCATTTGATTTGATACATTCTGATGTGTGGGGTCCGACGTAAGTTACTTCTAATGGATTCCGTTGGTTTGTTACTTTTATTGATGATTGTACTCTGTTAACTTGGGTATTCTTGATGAAGAATAAGAGTGATGTTCTGTTACTTCTTCAAGAATTTTGTACAATGGTGTCTACTCAGTTTCAGACCAAAGTTAAGGTCTTCAGGTCTAATAACGGAGGAGAATATATGAATCACACTTTGACATATTTTTTTTTCGTGATCATGGTATTATTCACCAGACGACTACTCCATTTACACCCCAACAAAATGGTGTGTCCGAACGGAAGAATCGTCAAATAATGGAGGTTGCTCGCTCCTTGATGTTGGATAAATGTGTTCCTAATCATTTGTGGGGTCATGCTGTTTTGGCTGCTGTGTATTTGATCAATCGTGTTCCAAGTAGAGTTCTTGATTTTCAGACACTACTTGATGTGCTACAAAAACATGTTTCTCTTGTTTCTGTATCAAAGCTTCCTCCGAAAGTGTTTGGGTGTATTGCGTATGTCCATGTCTATTCTCATCAGCGGAGTAAACTTGATGCATGTGCTTTTCGATGTATCTTTATTGGGTATGCTAACAATAAAAAAGGTTATAAGTGTTATCATCCTCCGACTCAAAAAACTTATATTACCATGGATGTCACATTCCATGAGGAAGTTTCATATTTTGTGAAGCTTTCTTTCGACTCTCCACTTCAAGGGGAGAGGGGAGTGAAGTGCATATTCGAATAGATGGTATGGATGATGTGTTATAGGCAGAGTTGGAAACAGAACCCATTATATTGCGTGATACTGATCAGTTGGCTACAGATAATGATTAGTCACCTGTCATTCCCGGAACTATTTCTACTAACGACAGATCAGATGTGCCCAGCGAGTTGCCTGTTAGTATGTCTGATGAATTACCTTCTGATGACTGGTTGCATATTGCTGATATGTCTAACGAGTTGCCTGATGATGGTTCGTCCAGTGATGATTCTTCTAATAGTTTGGTACAAGATGGTGGCATACATGAGGTAAATTCTGATGATTCTTCTACTTATCAGTTGCTTTCACGAGCTAATCGTGGAAAACCTAAAGTACAATATGAGCCTGATATGCATGCCAAAGCCAAATATCCTATCAACAATTATATGTCTACTCATCGTTTGTCCAAACCGTATACATCTTACATATGTCAACTATCTAGTGTATCAATTCCAACAAAATTGCAAGATGCTTTGTCTGACCCAAAGTAAGTTAATGCCATGAAAGTTGAGATGGAAGCTTTGGAGAAAATTTCTAATTGGGATTTGGTTCCTTTACCAAACGGGAAGAAAGCCGTTGGATGTAGATGAGTGTTTACTATGAAGCACAAAGCAGATGGTTCTATTGACCGGTATAAAGTCAAATTAGTTGCTAAGGGTTATACTCAAACCTATAGGGTGGATTATCAAGAGACTTTTGCTCCTGTTGCCAAACTTAATATTGTGCGTGTTCTTCTGTTCTTAGCAGCAAACCAGGATTGGCCTCTGTTGTAGTTTGATGTTAAGAATGCTTTCCTTCATGGTGATCTTAAGGAGGAAGTTTATATGGATCTCCCACCTGGTATTAGAATATCTCCTAGAAAAGGTGTTGTATGCAGGTTACGAAAGGCTTTGTATGGTTTGAAACAATCTCCTAGAGCATGGTTTGGGAGGTTTGCAAGTTCAATGAAGAAGTTTTGGTATATCCAGAGTCATTCAGATCAAACTTTGTTTCTAAAGCGACAAATGGCAAGCTAACTGCATTGATTATTTATGCTGATGACATGATAGCAACTGGTGATGATCAGAAAGAGATACGACACCTTCAAAAGTACCTAGATATTGAATTTGAGATGAAAGAATTAGGTGAATTGAAGTATTTTCTTGGAATCGAGGTTGCATGATCCAAGCATGGTATTTTTCTGTCTCAACGGAAGTATGTTCTTGATTTGTTAGCTGAAACAAATATGTTAGATTGCAAACTTGTTAATACTCCAATTGAGCAGAATCATCATCTGGGCTTATTTCCAGATCAAGTTCCTACTCATAAGGAACAGTATTAGAGGCTTGTGGGGAGATTAATTTATTTGTCTCACACTCGCCCTGACATTGCTTATGCAGTTAGTGTGGTAAGTCAGTTTATGCACTCACTTAGTGAAGCTCATATGGATGCAGTAACCCGTGTTTTGAGGTACTTGAAGATAGCTCCTGGCAGAGGCTTGGTTTTCTCCAAGAATGGTCATTTGAATGTCGAAGGGTATACAGATGCAGATTGGGCAAGTTCTATCACTGATCGGCGATCTACATCTGGATACTTTACGTTTGTGGGTGGTAATTTAGTTACTTGGAGAAGCAAGAAACAAAAAGTGGTGGCTAGGTCAAGTGCAAAAGTTGAGTTTCGTGGTATGTCTCATGGTGTATGTGAGTTGTTGTGGTTGAAAAAATTGTTGAGAGATCTTGGGTTTAAACTCAAGGGCGCTATGAAACTTCATTGTGATAACAAGGCTGCTATTGAGATTGCTTATAATCCAGTGCAACATGATCGAACAAAACATGTGGAGATTGATCGTCATTTCATTAAGGAAAAATTGGATGCTGGAATTATTATGTTTCCGTTTGTGAGATCTGAAGATCAACTTGCTGATGTTCTTACTAAGGCTGTGTCTAATAGTGGGTTTTCCAACTCGCTTGACCAGTTGGGCATGCGTGACATCTTTGCACCAACTTGAGGGGGAGTGTTGCGAGTTATATATTAGTTAAAGTGTAAATAGTAGTTTATTGTTCCACATTGGTGAAGTACATATGTAATACTAATTGTAACTCCTATATATACTCCACTTTGGAGATTAATGAATATATAAGAAATTCCCATATATTATCATATATATTTTTGGTATTTACCATGTTTAGTTTAATAGCCATAAGGACTAACATTAACTAGATCGTTATAGTCGCGCCTCAGATGAATCCTAGGGCTTTGTAGTCCTTTATGTGCAGCCCCTTGTTCGAATCTCGTTCTCCGCATGAAAGCTTTTGAACAGCAGCTAGACTCTTAAAAGCAACAAGAAAGTAAACCACATTCTCATGTATCCGGACATTCTAATGTCCCAGGAGGATTCCAGTCATTGTATTCAACTTCTGTATGGCTCGTGTATCCTATAGTATACTAAGGCTCACTCTATTTCTCCTTTCCTTTTATTTGTTTCGTTTTCTTTCCTCTTCACATCTTTCCGTCCGTTTCTCTATTTTCATTTTATTATATTCTCAACTTCCTCTCCTCTAGGGGTGGGCACCCCCCCCCTTCCCCCCTCCTCCTAACACCATTAGTATTTTTAAGAAAAAAATATACAGTTTAAAACCTTATTTCAAACATTGTCAAACATTTCCTGGATGTAAACTATCAAATATTCACTTTCACAATTGAGCAGTTTCAAAGAATCAAAGGAAGAATTAGAATAGGAAAACAAGCAAAGCTATTTCTAGGTGTGTA